ATGTATGCTATACGAAGTTTTTACGGGCGCGCATGTCCCCTCGCCCCCAGCGCACGCCGTCGCCCGCCGCCAGCCCCGCTGCGGCGTCCTGCTCCGCCTCGGCGCGCGGCCGCAGCGAGCCCCACAGCACCTCGGCGCACAGCACGTCGCCCTGGCCGTTGTCGCCGACGAGCACGAGCGCGGCCTCGGGGTAGATGGCCGCGTACTCGCGCGCGCACGTCCTCCCGGGCGCGCATGTCCCCTCGCCCCCAGCGCACGCCGTCGCCCGCCGCCAGCCCCGCTGCGGCGTCCTGCTCCGCCTCGGCGCGCGGCCGCAGCGAGCCCCACAGCACCTCGGCGCACAGCACGTCGCCCTGGCCGTTGTCGCCGACGAGCACGAGCGCGGCCTCGGGGTAGATGGCCGCGTACTCGCGCGCGCGCGACAGCTTCTTGGCCGCCAGCATCTGGGCCATGGCCACCCCCGCCGCATCGGAGACGGGGGCGTGGGTGACCACCTCTGCGGGCGGGGACAGGAGGCGGAGGTAGGAGAGCAGGGCGCGGGGGCCGGAGCCCAGCGACCCCAGCAGCATGGAGGGGGAGGTGTCCAGGTCGCGCCGCGCCACCGCCGGCGCAAAGTAGCGCTTGTGCGCCTCGGACTCCGTCATGCCCTTGTACGACTCGGGGCGGGCAGAGAGGAACACCAGGTTGCTGCCCTCCTGGTGCAGGCGCTCGCCCGGACGCGGGGCCGCGCCCCAGCGAAAAGAAGGCGCGCGCGGCAGCGCCGGCGGCGGCGTCGCCTCGCCGCCCCGCGCGCCCGACGGCGCGGGCCCCAGCAGCGACCCCTCCGGCGCCATCATCTCCTCGTCGATCGCGGTGGGGCTGGCGCCGGCGGGGCCGGGCGAGAAGAGGGAGGGGTCGTTCCAGCCCGCGCCGGGGCCGCCCCGCGCAGGCAGCCGGATGGGGGCCAGGCGCCGCCCAGCCTCGCGCACGGGCGACAGCGTGAAGGGGCTGGCGGGGGGCGGCGTGGCGGCGGGCGCCCCCAGCGCTGCGGCGGGCCCCGTGGGCGCCGAGATCCGCAACAGCAGGGCGTCCGGCGGCGCGGCGGCGGAGGGCCGCG